TGGTGTTTTTTTACGTATTGATGGATGTGGTACTGGTGATGATGATGTAGTTCGTTTAGATCTTGGTGAAGCTGCTGGTGTAGATTCAATTTTAATTGGTGGAACTTTTTTATTACTACGTGGTGTTGCTGGTGATTGTGATCGACGACCACTAATAACAGGAGATTTACTGTTTTCATCCGTTATTGTTCGATGTTCAAGTTCAGTTAATAATTGATGATTATCATTTACAGCATCCTCATCATCGTCTTCATCCTCATCACTACTGTCATCTTCATCATCATCACTTTCTACATTGGAGACTATTGGTTTTTTTTCATGTGAGCTAACTGAATCAGTTGCTTTGATTAATGGAGATGGTTGTTTTGGTTCTATATATGTATATGTATATATATATGAAGAGAAATTAATAAATATTTCTTTTACCTTTCTTTTTATCTGATACTACATCATCATCATCTTCATCTTCACTTTCTCCTACTACGTCGTCATCATCTTCGATCGCTTCATCTTTCGGTGTCTTTGGAGTTTCATGACCTGTTTCTTCGGCAGGTTTGCTTGGTGCAGGTACAGCTGGTGTAGTTGGAGCAAGTGATTCTTTTGATGCTGATTTATTTCTATTACCAAATGGTAGTTTACTAACAAGTGATCTAAGTCCTTTTGCATTTTCTTCAGCTGGTGCTGCAGGTGTAGCAGCCGGTTGAACATCAGTTGGAGGTGCAGTAGTTACAGGCATTGGTCCAGTTGCTCTTTCCAGATGTTTATCAACATTATTAAGTTTATTTGAAAGATTATTCAATGCTTTTACTGCATTTTGTTTTGTTTTATCAAATGTCCTAACTGGTTCTTTTGAATCTGGTGCTCTTGTCGTTGCCTGTACTTGATTTTGAAGATTGATAAGACGTTCAGTTAAATCTTTCACTTTTGTACGACCTTCAACTGATCGTTCACGATTGGCAGCACCTTTTCTACGGCCTGTATCAATCTTTTCTAAAACTTTTGATGACGCTTCAACATCAATCTTTAATTGATCGATTTCACTTAGTAATTGTTGCATTGTTTTTCCTGATATTACAGGAGCTGTTGGTTCTGCCGTTGGTGGAGCTATAGGATTTAAAAGAGCAGCTGATGCTGCTCCTGCTGTAGTAGCTGCCATGTTCAAGGTAAAGTTGTTCTATAGTAAGGAAAATGAATGAATGCATTCTTACCTATCGGATCAATGCAAAAGTATCTTGGCAACCACACTCATAATCCTAATATTTTTATAATCTAAGTTTAATTAAAATTTTTCTCTTGAAAACAATCTTTCAAATAAAATTCAGACTAATGATACAATTTAAAACTCTATTTTCAATAGTATATACAATAATGAATGGAGATATTAGTGACCTCTATCGAAACATCCAATACTTATATTCCAACTATGAGCTAACAAATTATCATATGAATTAAGTAATATCTGATGATAGTTCAAAAGTATAGAATTACAGTTATATAATATTCATAGATTTTTGACACAAATAGCATAACGAAAGAAAATTTGATAATAATATAATTCTAATTATAAGATAACATATCAATACTAGAAAGTTGATGTAAAAAATATCTGAATTTCATTTCATGTAAAACGTTTTTTTTTAATAAATAATGATTGTAAAGTAAGTTAAATACATATATATTCTAAATAAATAGTGACCAGACAAAAAGAAAAAAAAAAGAAATTTCATATAAAGGTATAAGAAGAGATCTGATGATAAATACGGAATGTAAAATATAATAAAATAAAGTTTGCGCGTAATAAAAATGAACATCATTGAATAAAATTATTTATAAAAATTCTCTTTAAGATCTTGTTTCATATAAACCACTTTTACCAATATATCGTACCCATTTAATAGTTTCAGAATCGGAATAATTAAGTTTATGTTCAAATACTTTAAGATATCGAACTTTAAAACCTGATGGTGCAAATGGTACTTCAAAACTCATTGATATCGGTGGACGATTCCATTTCTTTTTATCATTCGGTGTTAATTCAATTTCTGCACTTAATTGAGATTCTTTCATTCCACCCATACGTTTCATTTTCCATACAATAGCATTATCTGATGATTTATGTTTTGCTTTACCTTTCATACATAATAATTGTACATCACATGTATTTGGTGGTATTGGAATGCGTATTTCAATTTTTTGACCAATAAGTGTTGGTTTAAAATTTGATTTAACAACAACTTTAACTTCCATTTTCGTTCGACCGATTTCTCTTACTAATGGAATAACACGAAATGGTAAACTAATATCTTTTGTTGTACGATAACGCATTAATTCAAATTCACCATCAGGTGGAATAAATGATATAGCATGTTCAGATTCAAATTTTGATAATTTAACACATTGATGAAATTGACAATCATCTATGGCAATAGCTGTTTTTGTTGTTGTTGTTGTTGCTGTTGTTGATGATGGATTTATTGAACCATTTGTTGATGTATCTGTTTGATTTTTAGTTCGATTTTCAACTGTTATTTTATCATTAATACCAAATTTACATTCAGGCATACCAGATAAATAACTTTTCATAACAACTCGACCAGCAACATGTGTACTTAATACTTGACCTTGTTGAGACATTAATAAATTAACTGATTCAATAACATCAAGAAATAATTCATTTCGACGATATTTAATACCTTCACGTC